AATCACAGAATCGGGAGTTTCCCTGTTTCGGGAACGGGGCGCCAGAGCTTAGACCGACATGGAGCCGACTGTTCCCTGTTGATAATATCTGGCCGAAGCGGAGGAATGAATACCTCTCTCTCTCTCTCTCTCTCTCTCTCTCTCTCTCTCTCTCTCTCTCTCTCTCTCTCTCTCTCTCTCTCTCTCTCTCTCTCTCTCTCTCTCTCTCTCTCTCTCTCTCTCTCTCTCTCTCTCTCTCTCTCTCTCTCTCTCTCTCTCTCTCTCTCTCTCTCTCTCTCTCTCTCTCTCTCTCTCTCTCTCTCTCTCTCTCTCTCTCTCTCTCTCTCTCTTGGGGTCCGCAATCGCTGCGAGATACTCTCTGACGGACATTTGAGATCATGGCCCTACCAGCGGGGCTTGCTAATGTGACCTACAGCGAACCCTTCGGGCTGTTTAAACCTCTGAGCGGGTCCTTGATCTTTGGTCTCAAAAGACCATTCAGCCCCCTTTCGGGCCCATCAGACACCGCTCCTAGTCAACTCGGGTCACTTGCCGCCACACGACCCCTGTTAGGCACTGTGACCCCTCACCGACACAGGAGCCCCTCATTGTGCCAGAGACCCCGAACATTGCAAAGTGTGGGCCCCGGCCTCATGCCTGCTTGAGAAATAGGTCTCAAATGCTCAGGCGGACATGGAGTCGGCTGTTTGCCTCCATGCCGAGGCCCTGTATAAAGGAGATGGAAACTTTTATGAAATGAAACTTGTAGAAGCCATCTGACTGACATTCTAGGTCATGGCACTACTCGTGGGGGACCGGATCCGAGTCTAATCGGGCATTTGATCTCTGGTCCGGAGGGGCGCTCCGACCCCTCTTCGGATCTCCTCAAACAAGGTCTGTGGCAGACTAGGGGGCCACTAGCCGAGACATGACGCCCTGTTACGCACTGTGGGCCCCTAACCGACGAAGGGGCCCAGCCACCGTTTCCGGGACCTAATCGTGGCCCCTGGTCTTGCTTCTGCTTGGAAAATGGGCTTCTAGAGCTTGGACTGATAGAGAACCAACTGTTCGATGTTCGCGGTCTCTGGCTGAGTTAGACACACGCGTTATCTCAGGGGTCCACAAACGGTACAAGAAAACCTCTGGCTGATATTTCAGACCACAACCCTACGGGTCTCGATTCTTCTTCATATGACCCGCAGTCAATCGTTCGGACCCTCATGCCCTCCAACGGGGCCTTTGATAGTCTGTTTGGTTGGGCCGCCTAGACCCGTCTTCGGGCCTCAACGAGCACTGTCCTTTGCCGCCTCGGGGTCCCTTGCGAGAACAGGACTCTCTGTTAGGCGCTCTGGGCCCCTGACAGATACAGGGGCACCGACCATTGTAAGCCGCTGGGCCTGGCTTTGTAACTTAATGAGAAGTGTGTTCATACCGATGTGGAGCGGAATGTGTGGGACTGGTGGTGTCTGGCCTACATATAGGCCCATAGCAGCTCAGGGTATGCCCGATCGGTACAAATGGTCCTCTGGCTGTTATTTGAGGGTCCGTCCCCACCAGCCGGGCCGCTGAGTACGATTGCGGGGAGCCCTTTGTGCTCTTGGACACTCCAATCGAGCCTTTGATCGTCTGATCCAGTGGGTTCTCCAGGCTCTTCAAGCCCCCTCGAACACTGCCTCTGGCCGACTTTGAGCCTTTTGCCAGCGCAGGGCCCCGTTAGGCTCTGTGGGGCCCTAACTAATGCAAATCGCTGGCTCCGGCTTTGTCCCTGCTTGGGAAGTGAGCCCTCGCGCCCATGCCACCATAGACCTGACTGTGCCTTACTGATGGCGCCTGAGTGACATACAGGCCCTTGTCGACTCAGGGGCCATGTATCAGCGCGGGGGGCTTTGGCTGATATGGGAGTGCCCGGCCTTGCGGGCCGGGCCCCTAAATAAGACCTCCGGCCGGCCTTCCGGGCCATTCGGACCCTCAAATTTGGCCCTTAATGTTAGGTCCCGAGGGCCCCAGGGACCCCTTGGAACCTAGGGGGAGACACGTGCCCCTTGTACCCTCCTCTCTGCCTGCGCTACTGTTTCAGAAGCGGAAGCAACAGCCGATTCTAGAGCTTCCAAATCTACCAAATCATAAAAAATATTACTTGACTGACATATAGGCCCATATCGACTCAGGGCCCGATCGAAGCAAAGGGCCCCCTGACCGCTATTTTAGGGTCCGTTTTCACAGGTCTGGGCCCCTGAATATGACTCCGACCAGCCCTTTATGCCCTAAGACCCTCCAATCGGATCGCTTATTGTCGGACCGGGTGGGCCCTTCAGGCTCTTCGGGCCTCCTCAAATACTGCCTCTGGCCGACTCGGGGCCCCTTTACAACACAGGTCCCCTGTTAGGGGTTGTGGGCCCCCAAGCAACGTGAATCGCTGGCTCCAGCTTTGTCCATGCTTGGGATGTGGGCCCTTGAGCCCATACCGTCACGGAGCCGACTGTGCGTTACTGGTGGTATCTGACCGAAATATAGGTCCTTATCGGCTCAGTGGGCTCCAAATCAGCGCGCAGGGCCCTCTGGCTGGCATTTGAGTGCCCGACAGTACGGGCCGTGGCCCCTGACTGAGACCTCTGGCTGGCTCTTCGGGACATTCGGGCTCTCAAATTGGGCCCCTAATCGTAAGTCCCGAGGGGCCCGAAGGGCCGCCCGAAGCCTAAGAGGGGTGCAGGTACCCCTTGTGCCCCCTGCCTGCTCTACTACGAGGCGTGGACCCTCCACGCTTGCTTTGGTAACACAGCAAGCAAGCAATACCACACAACCGACGGCCTCTTCTGGGCCACCTGAAATTATGGGAGGGGGGGGGGGGGGGGCAAACGGATACTTTTGCCCCAGCTTCAAAATATGAGGGGGAAAATTTTCCCTCGCTCCCCCCCCCCCCCTCCCCGTATACGCCGCCACTGTGTGCAGACCGGATTACTCAAAGTACAAGGGGAGGTGACAGGTGAGCAGGGTCTCGGCAAAATTACAATGGCTCATTATTTTGCATCCCAACACGTTGTGTGACCGTTGGAGGCTCAAGTTACCGTTGCGAAAAAATATATTTGGACACGGACACTGGACATGCAAGTGGACAGGTTTCCAGCATTACACCTCACTAACCTAATGATAGTATGAGGGCATCATGATAGTCCGCCATATTTGACTCCGATCACACGTGCCTTCTGAAGGCCTGGGTTCTCGCTGTGAAAGGGAATTGCATGGTTGTGGACACGGCCATGGAATAAATGCCCGAGGAACTATCACTAGCACGTTTCAGCCAAGCCGTGACTGCGCTGTCTTTGCCCCCAATCTGCATGACGATCCCTGAATAAAGCATTGCGCCAATATTCCGACAAAGTGAGGCCCGTTGGCTGAAGGGACGCCCTATGGCCGATTTGGCCACCTCTTGGCTGAAATCCTGGCGACGCCACTGCCTCAGCATCAGTAAATGCACCATATAGCGGCATTGCTACAAGTTGAACAGCTACATCCGCCATCAGTTACCGAAATGCATCTTCTACTCACACTCATAGCATTGCAGTGCAGTGGTGTGCATTTTCATTGTCTATACAGCGTGGCCACTTAATACGGGATCGATGACACGCGTATAGGTAGGCAGGCAATGTCAAGTATCTGTCCGCGTAAAAAGCATGCGAATGACAGGAAAAGCACAACACGCGATCTCCAGCTTCTCTCTCTCGCCATGGACGAATTGATGGATCCATGAAAACATGCGATGACAACGTTGGTTGTCCTGTTCTCAATTTTCAATCGATTTGAAGGCGCGAAGCGTAGACGTCTCGGAGCGTACGACACATGCCATCGACACCTCGATCAATGCATTTTCGGTACGTTGATCATGTAACGGTTAGGGTACGCGCATGCTTTGTAGAGTTTCCTCCTGCTTAGTGCAAGAGTACGAATAACCAGAGCAAAATCGCGGCTGCGTCACTACAAAAGATATTCCTCGATGAGCTCACGAATCTAGCATTATCCAGCGGTACCACATTGCTGGACTAGAACCATGTTGTTAAGAAAGCTGCACGAAGAGTTACATGCTTTGCAATAAGCCGAAACGTTTGTGGATGTGACATTCTCACCCTAAGCCTACCCCCCATTAATAACTGATGCACCGCTTCTGCGAGCGCACCAATTGCTCTTCCAACGCACATGCCTGAGGCACACGATCCCCCCGCCACCGAGCCCCACCCACATATAATCGGCCGCGATGCCACCGCTCCCTCATCGCCGGCCGACGTTCCGTCCGCACTGTCCCGAGACCGCCGTTACTGGGATTGCGCGAGCCTCGGCAGAGGCTACATTCCGGTCGCGGGAGGACCGTGACGTCACGTGGCGTGCCAGTTCCGGCGGTGCTGGCGCAGGCTCAGGCGCTGTCCGCCGGTGCCGAGCGCGGAGTCCGACCGGGGCAGGGCGCGCCGAGGCTGTGATACACGTAGTCTCCGAGCACCGGCTCCATGAAATGTGGTTCAGTACGTCAGCCGTTGTGGACTACCGCACAATGAGCCTTTCAAATCTAAAAGGTTGGTTTGGGCGCTACCGCTACCGCTGTCCCCTCCCCGCTCAGTCCTTCGCACTGCCCTCGCGTTGTGCGGGTACCTTCAGTGTGGACGAAGCGCATCCCGTAGATTAACTTCCCTTCTTCGTGGTAGGGGCGCGAGTTAGAAGCCCGGGCTGCGGTCGCTGCTGTGTTAGTGCAGTGTTAGTTACTCATTTCTCATTTCCGCAGCAATCGCTCCAGGTTTAAGAAATCTGTTGAGCTCTTATTTTGCTGGCAGCCAAGCGTCGTCCCCCGCATGTTCCTATTGATTCTGGTATTCCGTGCACTCGTTTCACCGAACGGGCGGCCCCCTCCCCGAAGCCGTGCCTGGCTATTGATTGCCGACCGGCGGCCGGCCACGGGTGAATCGGAACGGTCCTGAGCGCGGCTGCGCCTGGGGCGGCGTTGGCCGCGGCGGCGCCATGACAGCTCGGACGGCGGGGCGAGACGCTGGTTACAAGGCACGGGGGCTGCAGCAAAACCGGCGTAGAAAATTAATTTTGGCTCCGGATCTGTGACGTTTCAGCAGCATGTGAGCTCGTGACACCGTAAGGAACAAGGCAAGCGTTCGGGCATGCGTCAGTGGAAAACTGTGGAGGATCAAGCCTGTGTGAGGGCGCCCAGCACACGGCGTCGGGACGAGCCGCGCCCCGTCGTGCGTGTGGTGCAAGCTGGGGTAGGGAGGGGCGATTTGCTGGTGGGCCCGGGGTTGCGTGAATGATCGGACACAAAATGGCACGGTGAATGATGTGCGGCGTGGTATAGCATACTCTGCCACATACTTTTCGCCGGGGTGGAAATCACCTGTGAAATCGATACGAAATTGAGCGCCGGCGCTGGCGGGCCAGGGTCGCGGCGCTCTTGGAGGGGGGAGGGGGGGGGGGGGGTCGGTCGGTGCGTGAGTACGTGCTTCGTTCTGATGTTTTGTCCTCTTCAAAAGTGAGTGGATAGGTTGCATTTCTTACCCTTTGCGTCGTTGATTCAGAGAATGTTGACGGCGTCCTTGGGTGAACAAGGGCGGGGGCAACTTTCGTGCTCTGTCCCGAGTCCTGACGCTCAACCGTTCGAACATTATCTGGGAATCCCGTACGTTGACATTTGTGTGTAGCGACGTCTGCTTAACACACTCCGGCAAACTGAGCAGAACCGTGATATTTGGTGTCTGAAACGACCGTCATTGTTACGCGCAAGCAAGCAGTGGCAACTGAATCCTGTTTCGGTTTAACTTATACGCAGGCACCGGCTGCGACATACAGCGTATATGGTGCATGGTACAAATTTTCTGAGACGTCACTCGAAGGCATCAACGCGTAGCATGGCGCAGGTGCACAATACTGTGCACGGGCGTTTGGTCGCCACGAGCGGCGGGAGCTGCGCACCAATTCACGTCCGTATAGAATGGGTGATAAGCCGATCCAATTCCCGGACGTTGTGCTGGACCGCGGTAAGCTTTCACACTCAGCACATGTGAACGGTGTCATTAACGTTTTTTTTTTTGCTCATTCATGGGGGGGGGGGGGCACCGAAGGGACCGTCCAGCGACAGAAGTGTCGGAAGCAGGTTGTGAATTTGACGCTGCGGTCGAAGTCCTCAGCGGTTTCCGTGCGCTCATTGATGCTGGCGCTTTATAAAGTGGGCGTGACGCCGTGCGTCGGGGTCTCCTTTTAAAAAAGAAAGGTTGATTTGCGTAGTTGATATAGCATATCGCACTTTATCTTTGCTGCAGCCCTGCTGTATGGGTAATTCTGCAGAACTTTGTTTCGCCGATCGTGTGTTTCCAAATTGCCTCCCAGATTCATCAGACCCTATGTTTCCGAAGTTCTCTTGCGCTGCGCTCCGTTAAATTTACAAGGATTTTTTCGTGGACAACCTGCGCTAGGAAACTTTCCTTTAGTACTCAGTTCACCGTTTTTGTAGCAGTTGAAAGCGTTGAGACGAGGTGAACATTAATTTGAGTTAGCGGCGTCGTCGAAAACGCCCTCGCTGTTCCTCTCCATCTTGCGAGGACGTGGGTTAGCATCATGGCATCATGGTTAGCATCATGGTTAGCCACAGCATCATGGCAGCCGTCGCGAGCCGAAAAGTTTGTGCGTTATTGGACAAACATCGGTTAAATTGGATCCTGATTTGCGGAAGTTCGGAATCTCTACACCCAGCTCTGAGACAAGTTGTGACCGCGTCTGCAATGTAGTTCTGCAAGCGATAGCCCGAGACATGACTGGAAAGGAAGTGCGTTTAAGCCGCGGTATAAGAGAACTGGAGAGCAAGGGATGGCGTGAAAACGTATATCGAACGACTTCTTAGGGTAAGAACAGGTAAGGGCTGTTTGAAACAGCATATTCACGGGGGGACATTTCGTCTTAATTTTCAGCTGGCGTCTCATTCTGCATCCGTTGAGATGGGTTGGAATCTTCGCAATATGAAAAAGCTCGTGAGTTTTTCATGACCCAAGTTATTTTACCCGTTTTCTTTCTTTTAAAATCTACTGTAGAGTGTGTGTTCCTGGCTACTAATGAGAAGATGTTTGCGGGTGGTGTGTTCAAGGGGCATTCATCTGACTCAGCCAACCTATTGCCCTGGCACCTCGGGCGGAAAGGAATGGGCAAGCATTTCATCACGATGCGTAATTTTCAACTGAAGACACTACTCGTAGGGCGGCCCCCCGGATATTGTGCGTTTTATGCAGCCCTGCCCACTCGCTGCTAGTGCTTGGCGTACATCTCTTGCTAGTATTGCTGGGTTTTGCAGGCCTCCAGTGCTAGCGCTAGCATGCTCAACAAATTGGTGATGGTGCGGAAATTTATGTCGCGTTTGATATGGTACAATACGTAAATGGCGTATGGAACTATCACTAGTTGAATTCGCTCCAACTACGCATCACCGGAGCCGTCGAACACAAGTGCAATGTACATGCAAGCACGCAATGGGATCGAGTAATTCGCTGGGCATGGAAGTATAGATTAAATATTGGATGAGGTGATGTGGAAATGTATATGAAATACATCGATACCATAAACACAGGACGCGCGTGCCAACGTCTTGTTTGTGCTAGACGTGCTACGCTGTAGATTCCATGCGCTTGCGGGATGTATTTACGGGTCAGGATCGCCCGCGCTAGACAAAATGTAATAATGACACTGTCATACTTGCTGTGACCGAATCCACCAAAATATCTGGAACACATTGTTGAATGGGTCTGGCAGCAGCCCCCCGGTACTCCATACGGGTAGCTTTACCCACTGGGCGGGATTAAGTCGGAGCTGGTGGTGTGAGGCATGTGCGTACCAGACCGTCGATCAACGGCATTGTATTGAATTAATTTCAAAACATTTTTGAGAATGGCCTGGCCGCTGATCGCCCAAATCCATGTGGTGAAGCGCGTGGTGATCGTGAGGCTGAACTGTTCGCATGAGGCGCCACAGTTCGCGCAGACCATGCAGTTGCGTCAGTCTATCTGACGTGGCCTGATTTAATGTCATGCTCTATGCTGGCTAAATGGTAAACCGTTCATCATCATGTACCTTTGCGTTATTTTCGTTATATTTTGGTGATTACAGAACGTAGGAGCCAACCCGGCGCTTGCAGTGTGACAGTTGGCATTTCGGATAGGGGAGGTCTGCAGCTTTGACTTGACTGTATGTACCATTAAGCAGCGATAAGTATCAGCCAATTCCGGATGTGGGAGATTTCAGTTTTAGGGACCTGTTTTAGTTTCAGTTGCGCCGTGTGCTATTGGCGGCCCTCAGTAAAACTGGCGGTTATCATTTTCGTCCCGTTGTACATGCTCATTTCGACGTCATGACCTTGATCAGCTTGAATATTGCGCACGGCCTCGCTGTGAGCCGTTCGACATCTGGCACATTCGATCTCCCTCGTACTTCGATTCTTTCGTCATATCCGACTATCGCGACAGTGGTAGACGCGGCACTCACGGACGTTCCCGCCACACGGCGTGCGTGAGTCAACACGGCCTCAGGTTCACCAAACCGTCAGCTGATGCCCAGTCACTGCGCGCAGAACGGTCCGCCCGTTTCGGTAGCCTCTGCGCGGGGCAGGGTACGGGCGCCTTGCCTGGTGAGGCGGAGAAAAATACGCGGCGGGCATGTGACGGGACTGGGCGAGTGACCGGTCCGTGGTGCATTGCGAGCGCGTATATGTGTACACAATGAGTGGATTGTTGAAGCACCGGCGGTGGTCCGCAAATTATGGGGGCAGTCATTAGTACCTTTCTGGGAACCTAACGGCATGGTAACTGGTGTTCGCAGTTTTAGCCTTCGAGAAATGTCCGGCGGCACGTCTGTGGGGGTTGGCGTCCAGTGATCCTGAACTCAGAATTTCTGTGTTGAGGTGATAACCGTTTTGTGTTCCCGCCCCATCTGGATATCAGTGACGTTCCGCAAAGGTTGGCTTTGTCCATTGCAATAGTTTTCGGACATCAGCATTGATTTAGACCGCGCTAAACTAATAGGGTTTGTGGGCTAGCGTTCGTCCCCGGGAATGGCCTGCTGGAACCCGATTGAACCGTCCAGATCCAGCAAATTCCTCCATCTCTGGCCCGAAAGGCTGCCGACGCCATTGCTGATCACGGTGTGAAGTATCCATTAAACCCTGCGCTCGTGCTTGGCTCGCGCCTCGGCTTTCCGCAGCACATGACTTTAGGTGACAAGGGCCCTGAAGCCGATTGGCGGCCGTGGGGAAGCCTTAAGGTCATGTTACTAATGCAGAGTCATCCTGCCTTTTCAGCGCCAATTTCCCGCGGGCGGCGTGTCCACTACAACCGGTTTTGCAGCCATGTACATGGTTTGAAGCAGAAGTTGGAGGGAATGCGCGCTGTGAGAGTACTAGGTGTCCTGAGGACTTGTTTCGACTGGTCCCAGATGCATGCACTCAAACACACGCAATATCTATGAAGCTATTTTTGACGGATGCGAAAATGTGGACGGGAGTGGGCAGACTGTTCGTGCCAATATGAAGGACAAGAAATAGGGCTTGCTGAAACATTTTCAGGTTAAATATGTAGAGAGTTACGTCACGCTGTCCTTACTCGTTCAGCATGTTTTCGGAGGGTGCCTCTCCGCTGTGCATATATTTTGCCATAGTTCAGGTCCGATGGAGCCGGCGCATCACCTTGCGATATTTACAATGCGGCAACGTTTTAGCGCACACCGTTACGGGGAAGGACAAAGTGCAGAAGTAGTGATATTTCTGGTGGTCATGATTCGTTGGGCTTAACAACTGCCTGATTCAAATGAAACCCTCGGATTTTACGGAAAAAGATGGGTTAAAACATTTTGATTCACAATCGCTTTATGTGCAAGTGGTCCTCATGAAAGGCATGGTCACCGTGAAAGGTTGACGTAAGAAGGCTAAAATTGTGACGTCATGGACAAGTAACTGGGTTAGCCCAACGGCTCCTCTAGGCAGTGCGGTCAGAGTATTCTCAACAAGATTTGTGCAGCAGACCATCTGGGGTAGGGGTGTTTTTTAAGATGGGTTCTCAAAGCAGCGTTGTGAGGACTCCTGCTGAAAGTAGGTGAAATGACGCCCTGATCTGTGGAAAGTGGCAGCAGCCAAACCAGCTTTCATTTAAACAAACCCGCTTTTGACTGTGCATGCATTGGTGCATGCGATGCATCGACGTATCCGATAGATTCACGCTCACTCCGGAATCTTTGCCATTCCGACTTTTCTCAGCATCCTCCACCCGCGTCAAAGCCTCGGGCACTTCAGCCATTTGTGCAAAGCATTCCGCGTAGTTAAATAGTTGTAATGATAGGCACGCAAACGGCGCGTATTTTTATCCGGCCTGTACAATTGGAACGGCGGTGTGGTCTGCAAGGCACGCGCGTATCTAACGAATTAATGTACCTATCCGAGGATATCTGCTTCCAGTTGGTCTGGCTTTGAGTATAGGCACCACGGGCGTTCGCGGCGCGCGGGGACGCGAAAGTGACGATGAAGTTTGGGGACGAACGCACGCACACATCCCGTGCGATTTCAAATCGACGATGTCGAACGCGTTTGACTTACTCGTCGGTGCACGGGATTTGGATTTGCTCTGTGCTTTATTCAGTCAGCTGCGAGGTGACCAGAAATGTTGGGATTTCTTCAATGCAACGTCCGCATTCGATGAGACAATCCACTGTGTCTCTTGCGGCACTTCTGACTAGCCATGCCATGCCGAGTCATTTACTATCGCGTACGTCCTTATTGACTTCATTTTGTTGACTCCCAATGTTGCGATATGTTGTGCTCGAAGCCGTAGAGAGCGCAACCAATTATTTTGCACTTTGCGAGCAGCCGTAACGTGATTTTGCATCGAAACACTTGAGTATACGGCCATGGTTGGTATATGCAATACTTCTTCCAACGAATCAAAGTTGTGCGAGATTGTTGATAAAAATCGGAGTCGGCTCAGAAGCTAGAGTTCTTCATTACTTTTTTAATTGGACTGGAGTGCGGTTTATTAGACTAAGCTGTTAGTAAATTGACTCGAGTAGAAATTTAAGCAACGAGATGTTCTGATATCCTGAAAGCTTTCACAGAGACTGAATGAAATTCAGTCGTGAATAAGTATTGTCAGGGCAAACGCTTCGTTTAGGCTTTTATGAATCTCAATGACAAGTTCACCTATTTGTATTGCCTCTGCTTATCTATGTTTGTCGTTTTCTAATGCAAATGCCAACATTGCCAATATCGTCAATGCTTGCGTTTAGTGTCTTTTAAGCGATGTCTTCTGGTACAATGAAGGTCGACGGCTCGGCGTAAGAACTGTGAACTCATAAAGATCAGGTATCTCATTTACCCGAACGAACTCCGCTCAGAATCGATTTGGGATTAGGATCGATTTGAGCCATGCCTACCAGCCATACCAGTCGGAACCGAAGTCGACTCAAAGCTGCGATGAGCTGTTTAAAGTCAGCGCCGGAATCAACCCCATGCGCTGTGAGGTAGGGTCGGAATGATTCCGCTGCAGTGGAATCAAGCACAGGTCCACAACCAGCGGACAAGGTTGTATTTCACAGGCACAAGTATTGAATGTCCATTTCCGGGAGGTTTGTGATTACTTTTACGACTAAGTTACTGTGGAGGAAAATCATTATGTAGCGTGGTGGAGCGACAGACGTACGTCATTGGTAGACTGCCGTCTCCTCGCTGTCAATGGGAGATACAGTAAATATTGGGAGTTTGCCATCAGCCCTGGAATGAATGCCAAGAATGAACTAAGCGTAAATAAGTTAGCCCCGCCGGTTTTACAACGCCCCTACACCAATGCGATTTCTTCCAGGCCCCTAACGTACGCTTTGAACAACATTTATGACTGTCGGCGCTGCCATTCGCTCTCTTCACCATTACTGAGCCCGTGAGAGTCCGCCTGTACCGGCGGCCACATGTGACCGTGCTGCACCTCCGGCAGGCGTCCCCGTGCAGCCGTGATGGACACCGACGACGAACACGAGCGGTTGGAGATCGTGGAGGACATGCTGGAATCTTCGGACGACGTGCTGGAGGAGAGCGACCAGGCCATGGAGGAGTCCGCCGCGCTGGCTGACGACGACAGTCCGCGCACGCCCGGCAGGGCGGGCCCCGAGCCGGAGGACGGCCAGATGCCGATGGACGCGGACGCGGCGCAGCCGACGGCAGCCGATGAGGCCGCCGCTCCCTCTTCAGGGGATGAGGCCGCCGCTCGAAGTTCGGAAGATGAGGGCACCGCTGCAAGGTTGGGGCGTGGAGACGCCGTTCGAACGTCAGAAGACGAGGGCGCCGCTCAAAGGCCAGGAGGCAAGAGCCCTGTTCGGGCGTCAGAAGACGAGGGTGCCGCTCGGACGTCCGGAGGCGAGGGTGCCGCTCGAACGTCCGGAGACGAAGGTGCCGCTCGAACGTCAGGAGACGAGGACGCTGCTCGGACGTCGGGAGACGAGGGCGCCGCTCGGACGTCCAGAGACGAGGGCGCCGTTCGGACGTCAGGAGAGGAGGGCGCCGGTGGGACATCAGGAGACGAGGGCGCCGTTCGGACGTCAGGAGACGAGGGCGCCGTACCGACCTCCGGGGACGAGGGTGCCGCCGTGACCTCAGGAGACGAGGCCGGCGCCCGGACGGCGAAGGGCGAGAGCGACCCGCGGCCGGCCGCGGACGAGGGTGCCGGCCGGGCGCCGCCGGCCAGCGTCGGACCGGACCAGGACGGACTCTCCGACGTGGGGGCCGACTCGGAGGTGGCCAACCTGGAGGAGGGCGAGCTGGAGGACGGCGAGCTCGAGGACGACGGCGAGGAGCCGGAGGCCAAGGCACCTGACGACGGCGAGAAGGATGCGTCGCCAGCGGCGCCGGCCTCCAGCCAGGAGAAGCCGCGCAAGGCGTCCCTGCTCAGGCCCGAGTGGGAGGAGGCACGGCAAAAGCGGAAGGTAACCGACGACATGGGTGCTTTACTTTACACTTAATCTTACTTGATGCATGTGCCGAAGGATGATTGTGGACTTTTTGGTGGATGGTTTTGTGTTTTGTGTGTCGCCGGCACACTTGATGCCGCACCAGCCACATAAACAAAATTTTCCTAAGGCAAGCAAGTGCCAAATTGCCTCCTAAATTCTGCGAATTGAGACCGAATTCTTGAAGAGACTCTAGTGCGACCTCTTGGCTCCAGGGGTGGAGAGGGAGGGGGGGGGGGGGGAGGCGGCGGAGGGAGAGGAGAGTCGCTCTCCTGGTCGTCAGTTGGCGAGCGGAAGCTTTTAGGAAAGATGCTCGTGAGAAACTCAAAAAACCCAGCGCTGGTACGGAACGTGGCATGAGTTTCGTGTAAGAACAATTCGTGTTACGGTGCACGCGTGACTTTGCGCGGAGCTCAATGGTTGGGCGCAGTCGCATATGCTGGGTTGTTTTCCGAAAGCAGTCACGTCAGTGTCGCCGTAGCAGTTACTTGATCTAGCCGGACGTGATCGGCCCTGACCTGACCTGACCCGACCCGACCTGTCCCAGGCGGCGGCGGCCGCACGGCACGGCGATGAATACAAGCCGCCTTACCCGCGCCAGGGCTCCATGCTGGTGCCAGAGTACGACGACATCGACGAGGAGATGGGCCACCAGCATTTCAAGCGGCGACGCATGGACCGACCCATGTACAAGTCACCCGCCATTTGCAGCTACTACATGCAGGGCAAATGCCAGAAGGTCGGTGCCCAACCTGATTTGCTGGCATTGGCCTCGGTGCTTTGGAGTCGACATCTTTGTCAGTCACCACTCGGCTCGAATTTGAACATGTTGCGTTTGAATATGCAGTTCCGTAATACCATTTCCAACATCGACATTCAATGATGTTTCGTGTTTGATCGTCATTGATGTTTGAATGTGAAAAATCGATCGGTTAACCTTACGAACTCACAGCTTTCACAATCGTCGGAGATTTTGACATTCTTGCTCACAACGCCCACTGACAACTCATAGATGATACCTATGATGGCGATCATAGATCGAAGAGAAGTCTTAAGCTAGCCGTTGGACTGTAAAGGCCAACTGCAACGGGCGTTATTCCTACTTGCATTGTATCTCATCACCGCACGACACAAACTGACACTCATAACAGGTATGGCCAGCTGACGGCCGTTTGCTCTGGCACCAATCGAAGTCGAACTGGTGGTGAGCGGCGATCTTTGATTACGTATGTGCCTGGGCGTAGGCCGTTTAAATGCTGTATATTTCCAGTAGTAATTATTCGGTTTTTTGTTGCAGGGGAGAATGTGCTCTTTCTCGCACAATGCGATTCCGCCAAGGAAGATGGAGCTGTGCAAATTTTATCTCATGAATTGCTGTGCCAAAAAAGAAAAGTGCCTGTACTTACACAAAGGGTTTCCTTGCAAATTCTTTCAAACGGGCGCCAAGTGTTTTGTGGATGAGAAGTGCAAATTCAGTCATGAGCCCCTTAATGATACCACCAGGTCTATCTTGCTAAAGGTGAGTCAGCGGCCTGTACTTCGCATTGAACCTCTGCATCGAATTTATTCGCGATGCTTGGTGCAGAGGAACGAGGAACGAACCATTTCAGTGTTGAATTTGAACGTGTTCTGGATAAGCTTCATCGCCTGGCAACAGGTCACGGCGATTGCGTCGTCGTCCCGCTCCATGTGCATGGTTATCGTGTTTCAAGCTGTGGGCCCCTTAGCTCACTTGAGGCACGCCTTTGGAGCCACATATCCACGTAAGCCATCAGACCGGTTCATGTTGCGGTTGTGCTTCTCGCGACGGGTTCTCTGCTGGAGCGGCGCAGGGAGCCATTCGTCGGAATTTTTGATGACTACATCTAAAAATATTAACTCATCACGCCAACAATGCGTCGCGTCACCGTATCATGTTGGCCGCATCGTTTCATTGCGTGCCGTTGAGTGTGTGGTTTGGGGCGGCAGCATCTGGAGACGGCGCCTAAGGAGATCCTGGGCGACTTCCCTCGCATGACGCGTCCCGACGCGTTGCAAGTCATCGAACAGGCTATCAGCAAGCGCGAGAAGAACGAGGAACCCAGCTTTACCTTCCCCAACATGGAGCAGACCAGATCCGCACACATGGGTAGGCTCCACGTCCACGATAAGGGTGCTTGATCCGGATGTGTGCCTGGGCAGACACGTGCACACATAACGACATGTATGCGCGTACGGCGCATAACGTCTTACGCGCGTGCGTATGCGTATGTGTTTGCGGACATGTCTGTAGAGGGAGTTCGCTGCACGTCGAGCAGTTGCGGAATGCCTATGAGATGCCGTCTGTCGCTCAGTTCTTGTTGCGCTGTTCTCGTGGTTATGGTTGGCGGTACCTTCCATGCTCATATCTTTGATTGTCCGTCCTAACACTTACCGAGATGTCTGCGTTTGAGGCAGCTACTTGACACGCACATATATTTTTGATAGTATAGGGCAAGGCTATGTCGAACATTTAGGTAACATAATAACCATAACATAACATTAAATAAAAAATAGGACATATGTCAGGAAGAAAGTGTCGTTTTCTTCACGAGCGTTTTCTCCGTTTATAGTGAAGAGTTCTTTCGACCCTCGCAACCTGGAGAACGACCGCAGCGTGAGGCCCGGCCCGGAGCGGCATGACTGGTCCGGTCCGGAACGGCACGAGTGGGGCGTTCCGGAGTGCTCGGAACGCCACGAGCGCTCCGGTCCGGACCGTCCGGAACGGCATGAGCGTTCCGGTTCGGACCGGTCGGAACGGAATGAGCGCTCCGGTCCGGATCGGCCTGAACGGAGTGAGTGGTCTGGCCCGGACCGATTGGACCGGCCGGACCGAGGGGACCGGGCGGACCGAGGGGACCGGCCGGACAGGCCGGAGCGGCACGACCGGTCGGACTGGGAAGGTGGCGAGCGATCAGACAAGTCTAGCCGTCGACGCGACTCGTCCGTCAGAGAGGAGGAGCGCCGCCAACGTCGCGAGCGGCGTGCGCAAGAGAAGCGCGAGCGCGAAGAGCGCCGCCAGCACCGACACCGGCGCGAACGCGCCAGCTCGGAGCGTGAGCGCTCGCCGCGCCACGACCGCCACGAGCGGCGCCGGCGGCGCGAGGAGCGGCGCGCCGCGCGCGCCGACGGCTCAGCCGAGCGGCAGCGCGAGCGGCTGAGCGGCGCCGAGGCCGAGCTGGAGCCGGAGCCGGAGCTGGCCGGGCCGCCATCGACTGCCGGCTGCGGTGCCGAGGAGGCGCCTGGTGCGCCGGGCTCGCCGCCGAGTGCGCCGCCGGGCGCGCCAGACCCGTCCACGGCGCATTCGCCGCCGGCGATGTCGAATCCCAGCGGCGGCCTGTCGCCGCGTGACGCTGAGCCGCCCAACATGGTCTATATCAACAGCTTGCCGGCCAGCCAGCGCCAGCTCTACCTGCGCATACACCAGCACCAGAAGGAGCTCGTGCCCAGAGAGGTGAGGCGCTCGTCTGCGCTAGGTGCTTATGGGCTCCCACTAGTACGCGCTGTGTGAAGCACAGCCGTGCCATATCTCATCGTGATATGCTCTCGTTTTATAGCAATGTCTTCCTGGAGCTGTCATTATATTGTCCTTATGTAGCATATTTATAATGGTTCGTTCGGCGCTGCACCGTGCGCACGTGCACAAATGTTTGCACGTGCACATGCATTCGTGTGCACCATGTGCGTCACTGTCCCATTTACGCCTTACACGTGTGGGCCTGACGACGCTGGTGTGAGAGCTCTCACGTGATGGCACCCGAGACTGAACGATGCGTGCGTCCGCGTGTGCGCTGCAGAACACGCCACAGCCAGCCGGTGACGACGACGACAGGGCTGCCGACGACAACTGGTACTCGAGCGACGACGACGACGCCCCTCCACTCACGGACGTCCTGAAGAAGATGTCATCGGAGGTGAGTAGAGCTGTGATAGGCTGCACCCGCACCGCTCTCGCCGTGACATGGTGTGGCTGGGCGGTTATCAGCGTTTCAGTCAAGTTTGACTTTTAGTCTCGAACTTGCAACCAGTTAAAAACGCTGCCCGTATTAAATAACATCCTGTACCACCCGGCCACGAAGCGCTGAGGACGAGAAGTACGGTGCGCGTTGCGAGCTCTGGTTATGGCGCCCAGGGAAGGGGATTTAGCCCGTGATGAGCCCCTGACAGCACCGGTGGGGAGCTGGTGTCCTCACCGTCCGGGTGCTACCCGGTCCGGCCAGCACAGAGGTGCCTCCAGCTCCAATGGAAGCAAAACTTTGTACTTGGTCAACTATACGGTTCAAGTGCATGTACCAGAGTTCGTTGTACTTCAAATTTGAATAAACCTTTCGTGAATTTAGAGTCACCCGTTCATCGAGTTGTAGTACATCACGCCTGGGTGCGTTTGGGCGATCAAAAATGTCTCCGGGGTCGATTGTTGTGGTCATGTCGTTGGTGCGTCATCTCGCACAGTCGGCGTGGATAAAACATGAGCAGCACACCGTAATCGCACTCTTTAACTCGTCCTCAGCCAAGCAAACCTGGTGACTCGGAAGGCTCCGCTACCGTTATGAACCCAGCCGACGCCATCAACCAGTTGCTGACGACCATTCGGAAAAGCACGAAAGACCACGAAATTCGGTGAGTCGACCGCTCATGCAGCTAAAGGAGAGGGCCGTATCTAAGAAGAAAAATTGGCCGCTCATGTCCGTATGTGATTGGACTGTGGTCGAGTTTAGTCGTGCGTAGCCCTAGATATCTCAGTGTTGTTTCCCGGTCCGCCGAGCTGCTAGTTAACTCGACACCACGGCTTTCTTGCTGACCCACTGCCATGCCTCTGCACAGATCGCCGGACGCCACGCTGTCGAGCCATGAGCGCGGCGCGCGACCGCGACGCCCCTCCTGGGAGGAGGCCAGGGACGAGCGGGCTGGCGGCGCGCACAGCCGCCGCGGCTACGGCGGCCATGACATGGATGAGCGCGCGCCGCGGCCGGGCGAGCGGCGCGGCTCGTGGCGCGACTGCCGCGCCAGTTCCGCTGAGCGCCAGGAGTGGGCGGACGCTGGTGGCCGCAGCCCGCGACAGACACGCGACGTGGACCCGCGCGCCGCCCGCCACGAGCCCAGGGATGGCGACGAGGCCAGGGGCGCGCGCGACCACGACATGCGCTACCCGAGGGTGCTGAGGGACGTGCACGCACGCGACGCCAGGGTCGGTGACAGTGACATGCGCGACCCGCGTGCCGCGAGAGACGTGGATGCGCGAGACCTACGTGCTGCGCGAGATGTAGACGGGAGAGATCCACGTGCCGCACGAGATGTGGATGCGAGAGATCCGCGAGCTACGCGAGACGTTGACTCAAGGGATCTACGAGCTACGCGAGACGTTGACTCGAGGGATCTGCGTGCTGCACGGGATGTGGATGCGCGAGACCCTCGCGCTGCGCGAGACTTGGACTCGAGAGATCCGCGTGCTGCGCGAGACGTGGACGCTAGGGATCCGCGGTCCCGCGGGGCAGACCCCCGTCACTCGCCGCGAGACCCAGGCCCAAGTCAGGACGTGGACCTGCGCCATCCGCCAGCCGACGCCGCCTGGCCAGCGCCCGACACGGACTTGCGCTCGCGCGACGTGGACCTGCGCATGCCGGACCGCGACATGCGCGCTGTGCCGCCGCGCTCCGCCTGGGACATGGGCAGCATGGACTTTGACAAGGACGTCGGTGATTTGCCGCTGCCGTTCAAGCCGGTGGACTTCAAGCCGTGCGTGGAGATCGACGCGTCGGTGAACTCGCACCCACCCATGGACTGGGTGGTGGTGCACGTGACCGTGGACAAGCTCGACTACTCGCTGCAGCGTTTCCGGCTGGCGGAGCCGATCGCGCGCGTCGACCCGCGCTTGAAGGCGGCGCGCCGGCGCAGCTCGCAGGAGGAGAAGCCACCGGCGGCGCGCGTCATCCCCACCGAGCCCAACCGCGAGTATGAGCAGCTGCTGAGCCAGACTGGGGACGACCCGCGGTACCGGGAGCCGCGGCCGGACCCGCGGCCAGACCCGCGGCGAGCGGCGGCCGCCGCCGCCGTGCCGCCGCCCGCCCTGCCGCGCCCGATGGTGCCGGCCGGTCTACCGATGAGCCGCGCGCCGGTGATGTATACGGGCCTGCCGCCGCACCCCAAGCCGGGCCTGCTCGGCCTGATGCCCGGCGTGCCCGGCCCGCTCATGCCCGGCATGTACCCGCCCAGCCGGCCGTTCATGCCGCGCATGACCGGCTTCGGGCGCGGTGTGATGTACGGCGAGGGCGGCGGCGGCGCCAGCAGCCGGGGCATGCGCTCGCCGCTTGATGAGCGCGCCTTCACGCCGCCGCTGTAGGCGCTTTAGGGCGCGAGGGCACTGCGGGCTTTCACAGATGCACGAGAACTGAGTGCGCGACTCTATGGTGCACCAGAGATTGGGCAACATTTGAGGCCGGCTACGCTTATGTTTGCGGGACGTGATGAGTGGGAGCGTGCCCACCGTGCCCATCTGCGATGTGGCTGAGGAGTATTACTCAGTCTGCTGTACGTGCTGTAAAAACTGCGAATAAAGCAGAGCCAAAGCGTTTATTCGATTTATTTTGGTTCTGGGCTGTGAGTAAACACCAACAACCTTATCCGACGTTATGCGTTTGCCAGGACTCAACATTTCAGAAATGGTGCGGCGACATCTACGAGCGCTGCCCCACATTCGCAATATAACTGAGTATGCATATCGAGAGTCGCTTCGGAGCCTACCCGACCTGGGTGAGTGTCGCACCAGCTGAGGCCCAGCGCCCCTCCGTCTCACGGACGGCGGCGAGGGCGGTTGGCCAGCATTTAGTCTTGACTTCACATTAGTTCCCATCACAAAAGCTGATCTTAGCCGCCAGTTTGGGGGCGCCCCTTCTTCAGGGCTTTCTCATCCACCCGGTGACCCAGCCGTGGGCCGACCGGCGGCGCAGCTGACGTGGCGTCACTGGGACAGCGCCCGCTCCACCAGGCCGTGCTCCTGCACGCGGTGGGCGCGTGTGACCCGCAGGCGAGGCTCGTCCGCCATGGCTCGGGAGATGGCCAGGTCAGCATTGGTGTTGCCGGACCAACTCCTGCCGACGGAGAAGGACGAGGTCGGGCGGGACGCGTGGACTCGTCACGCACAGGACCGCCGCAACGCTGCTCTGAGGGTCTCAACACAAGCGTCAATGTGGGAAGGCGCTCATCGAACGTTAGCTTTGATAATCGACCGCTGCGGCACGAGCGAGACAAGCAACAACGCACATCAAATATGGGCAGCTAACCTGTGGGCTGTCCTAGCGACATACAGCTTTGCCACGGATCAGTATGCACAGCTGTACTTCTTTGATAAAAGGATACAGTTATGCTCAACGAGATTGAAATTGCTGCATTTATATGTCATGCATAATCGACGTGCCAAAAGATCACCTCCTAGCAATGCCATTGTTGACATCCCAGTGCAGCATGCTCCTGGCGCGGCGGTCAGCCTCCTCGGATCCGTCCAGCACCATGCCGAATCCTCCGTTCATCACTTCGCCCCTGGCAGGAGCAGATCATGCAGCAGATTAGCGCATGCTTATGCCTAAGTTCAAAGCCTAACTAGGGGAACACTGCTGGTGCTTCACTCTGACATTGTTGGGCTGCCATAACGGAGAATCGATATATACTGATGCCGTCATACCGCAAAATCAAGAACTGCATTCACCAGTTGGCTGATGCAAGAACACAAGCGCATTAATACTATGCTTTCTTCGCTCTCGCCGGACAGTGTCTGCAAAAGTACAGGTTCATTTCTAGCCGCCAGGTGTCTCTGATGCTGGCACCTACCAGCCTACTCCACCCCCATTGTGTAGCGCAACCCAGGTGGCGCCGCGGAAAGCGTCGCCAATGCAGTTCTGCACGGCCATGTCTGCGGTGAAGGCCGATCCGTCGTACACGTTGGAGGTTTCGCGGTATGGCGAGTCCGTGCCGCTCACATCATGGTGGTCCCGGCTGATGATCACCGGCCCCTGCGGACGTGGCTCGTGACTTCGGCGTCGCGTTGAACAAGATCGGCCGGCCAAAGTTCTGCCCACAACATGTTGACAGGGAATGGAGGCATGCGCCTGACAAGTGCACTGGTGTGGTCAGCATGAAAATCTAGCATGTCCTGAACAAGCGCCATGCACGGGAGTGCTTGGATAATCTCAAGGGTCAGCCAGCGCCTCACCTGAAGCGTGCCGTCCCGGACGGCGGCGTTGAAAGCCAGCGCGATGGCGGAGCGGCCGCGACAGTCCGAGTAGAGGATGCGTGCCTGGGAGCCGACTACCAAACCGTGCTGGCCCGCCTCACGGATCCAGCGCAGGTTGTCCCGGTATTGCTGTGTCACCGGCTCAGGCAGATCTTCTGTGGCGCGCGCAGACAGACCAATCAGTCGGCTGGGCGAAACATGGCGTGCATATGGGATTTGGATTAGTGCGTTGACAACTACGTTTAAATGATTCCAAATACTTAAACATGATTACCACTGAGTCCCCATTGACCCTTGAGATATCGGTGCAGAAATTGTCAGCACACAAACACCATTCCTAAATTTGATAAGGCCAAGAGCCATCAATATCAAATTAACGCAAAATGTAACTGACCCTTTCGCGCTGGAGGGCAAACACGGATTAATACCCTTACCCTGCTCCTCTGAGCACTTTTGCAAATTGCGGTGCCGCCACCTGCACATCTCACCATTCGTGATCTGCTCCATCGCTCGACCGGCGATGCCATCAGTCGTCGCTAGGTCAGACGGCTCCCCGGAGCTGCACACCCAGCGGAAAGGGCCGAAGCCCAAGCTGAAGATGTCGCCCATCACGTCCTGCACGTAACTGGGGTAGCGGAAGCGCAGGCCGTTCGGGTCGTCATCGCGAGAGACGTCGGCGCCGGCGCGGCGCGCCTCCAGCAGGAATGCGTTGCCGTAGTCCCAGAAGGTCATGCCACGCTCAGCCAGGTAGTTGATGGCGACCACCTGGCGCACCAACGACGCGCGCACGAGCTCGGCAAACTCGTCCGGTCGCTCGGCCAGCAGCCGGCGCGCCTCCTCGTAGCCCAGCTGCACCGGGTAATAGCCACCAGAGAAGGGCGCGTGGCACGAGGTCTGGTCCGAGCCGAGGTCTGCCAGCAGCTCGCCCGAGCTGCGGTGCTCCTCCACCAGTCGCTCCCAGACGGCCACCACGTTGCCATGGAAGCCGATACTGATCGTGCTGCGCTCGGCGCGCGCTGAGCGTATCCGCGCCACCAGCTCGTCCAGGTCGTCGATGACCTCGTCCAGCCACCCCTGCGCGTGACGCTTGTCGATAGCCTCCCTGCTGACCTCGGCCACGACGCCAACGCAGCCACTGATAGTGGCCGCCTTTGCTTGGGCGCCGCTCATGCCCCCTAGGCCTGAGGTGACAAACACGCGGCCAGCCAGCTCCGACGAGCCAAGGTAGCGCCGCCCGGCGTTCAGCACTGTCAGCTGCCGGAGTTGGAGCGACACGGTCAGCTGGTGGGGAGGGGGAGGTGGTTCCGACGTCTGCTGCCCTAGCAAGCGTCAGAGGCCAGTGAGATGACGTTAGTGTTCCATGTCACGGAACACGTCTGCCTGTTGTGCAGTTTCAGGATCAGTGAGATGACGCTAACGATAACCGTCGAGCGTGCCAGCTGAGAGTGGCGGCGGAAGTCAGCGTCCGGTGTCGGGGGTAACAAGAGGTCAGCGTGATGACGTCACTGTCAGCTGCTATGGCAGTCGGTGACGTGCGGAAGGTTGTATCGCAGCACACGATACCATTCGATGTGAACCAGGGGCGGCACCGCGGTGAAGATCGCCGCGTGGGATGCCGGATCGTTATGCCGAGTGCCCGAGCTGTGCCGTGAAGTCATGCCCTGAAGCCTGCGCGCTCTACTGTGTGAACTTGCCGTGGTGTTCAGCGCGACACCAGGACTGCTCAGCGTGCCGCTGTACGGCACTTCAGCGTTGTACCACCGTGCAGGGTGCTTTATGGTGGTGACTTATGTCATTTGCGCCACATTCGACGCTGCACCATCGCGCTGCGTGCGACGCCGGGGCGCCTGCACGGTCTTATAGCGTGGCACAACATGCCGCACTATCTTGTGGTATTGCATATGACCCCACACCGTGTTTACATGTCACACACCTATCGTGGTGGCCACATATGATGCCGCGGTGTAGTGCTACATGTGACGCCGTGCCGGGCTGCTGCCACAAATGCTGTACCACGCACCAGGTGTCATGCCGTGTCGAGGTGCTAAATACGACGCCGTGCAGCTGCGGCCCAATGCTATTGCAGCCTCGTGGTCCTGTGTATTGCACCTTACTGCTGCGACTATCCACAGAAGCGCATGACGCGCGGTGCTGTATGTGATACCGTATTCAGTGACTGTATACTATGTCCTCATACCGTAGTCCGATATACCATGCCGAAACGATTTGAGACATTTGATTGACGCCGTGATGGTTGTCTCCGACACAGCGCCCCGGCGCCGTGGACTGCACCTCACTGTGATGGTCACTCAACATCGTACCGTAATGCGACACACAAAACCATCCCGAAACACTATATGCGACGTATAAGCATCGTATCCGGTACAATGCCTGCCGCTGTGCTACATGTGATGACGCACCTGGTACCGTGTACACCCCACGCGTCACCGCGGGGTTTATCTAAAGCAGCGCCGCGGTAGCAAATGCTGTACCGAACCGCGGTTACCGCACCCGGAGCCGTACCGTGGTGCCGTGGACGATGCCCTGCGGCCCGATGTAGCAGTAGCTGCCGGCCGTCATCTGGCCGTACTGCGTGACGCCGAGCGCGAACAGGCGGTCGTAGTCGCGCCGGCTCGAGTGCTGAGGCACGACCATGCCGTTGGTGATGACGGCGCGCGGCGCGCCGACGCTGGACGGAAACAGGCCGAGCGGGTGGCCCGAATACAGCACCAGCGTCTGCTCGTCAGTCATCGTCGACAGGTAGTGCAGCGTCAGGCGAAACTGCCGGCACAGGCGAAGCGGAGTGAGCGGGCGGCTCGTGGGACGTCCAGATTACCAGGGGCGTCACGCCAGTACACAGGCAAGCCGGCTGGGGCAGAAAGACAGCGAGCTGTCCAACTATTACCCAGCGTGCAGCCATATTCCGTCACCTTTTATATTAGAAACGTTCTTTTCACAGCCCTTTTTATTTTCATCTTTTAAAAATTTGATCCATACCCTTCGATGGGATGGATTTCTGGGATCAGAGCTCACGCTAAGCCCCGATTGTGCAATTCCAGGCGATGGCAAAACTTAGTGGCGGAACTTTAACGTTCGCAATGCTGTCCGTCCTGGCCTCCGACGTCCGACGTCCGACGTCGACTCATAGATCAGCTGGAAAAAGTCGGAGCACCCTTTGACATCATACCTGTGCCCAGTTGGAAAACACTTGACCATTCCCTCCGTATGTGACGAGCTCCTGTGGGAACTGGGCCACACGGTGGTCCAAGTTGTTCATGATCATCAGGATGATGGCGGCAGCCTGACGCGACGCGCCAGGGTAGAGGCGCAGCGCGTAAGCCCTGTCAGTGGGAATGAGGCGCGCTCAGGTGAAATATGCGGCTGAAATGATCAGGTTTCGGTGGAAACATGTTTGAATTATACTGATTTCGATGAGAAGTGGGAAGGCTACTGCCCAGTCTATTGCATCGCCTCATGCGCATCTATGTCAAGTTCCCACGCATAACATGGGAGTACGTGTGACTTCTATACCATCTGAGCGCCGAATCACCATGCGTCGGTCAGTTTCCGCTACCAATTGCTGTCTGGTGTCACGCCCACACCGTGTCAGACTCATGTCACATGTCGTGACCTCCACACTGACCTGATGCGTGCCGTGTCGGGCATGAAGCGGTACATGTAGATGTGCCCATGCAGACGCAGCTCGGTGGCGAATTCTGGGGCCAGCTCGCCGTGACACTCCGACGGGAAATACCGCAGGGCGTTGCGCAGTGCCGTCTGCAGCGTGCGCGCAGAAACAGTAACGTTATAACGACCCGACAAGCACGACAGGGACGTCTAGTGAGCTTCGCACACTTGACGTGTGCGCGGTGAACAGGGCGCGGCCGACAACACTTCGTCAGATCCATTTGTCCCGGTCACGAGTGTGTTATCGCCAAAGTGATTGTCAAGGTTTGAGGCTCAGGTAGTTCAAATAGTTCAGTTCAAATAGTATAGTTCAAATGCAGTCCATTATGCATGCAAGGTAGAACTGGCGATTTCCTAGGATTTACTGGTTCATGCTAGAATTTCCCCTGCAGTGTTCGATGACAAACCGAGTGCATGTGTGCAAAACAGCTGACAACGGGCGACGTGAAAAGGCGGACAGCTCAACAGATCACCAGGTGACACTATACAACTTTATGAAACACCTTATGAACGAGACAAGTACACGCTCCAGCATAGCACCCAGATTTTCTAAGACCAAGACGATGCCCTGGCTGGCTCGCCTCACCTGCTCCTCCTCGGGCGTGAGGTGGGTGGTGCGAACGGGCGCGTGCGGCAGCGCCTCATCCCTGGGCCGGGGCGGCGGCAGTGGCGCCACCTGGAGGCCGGCGCACAGTTCGGCCAGGAAGCCGCGGTCATCCTGCTCGGACGCCCGCAGCCGCAGCACCGGCGCTACCTGCTCCGTGACCGTTCTGGAGGTGCTCATCGCTGTCACTGGCGGCGTGGCGGTCCCGACTGGTGACGGGCCGCGTCGGCGATCGGCCGATGCCGGTCACCGGGTGTCGCTCGGGCCCGCCGCCGGCATTCAAACCGGTCCCCTCGCAAGATAGCATCGAAGGACGGCCGGCCTCCGACTGCGTCATTGGGCGCCGCTCGGGTCTTCGGGCGGAGATGGGTGCCCCCTCCTCCACCTTATGACAAGCGCGTGCAAAACAAAACCGCAGGAGCGCCGGTACTGACCTGAATGACGCAATCTGCCTCTGTATGGCACCAATAGGGTACAGCGATTCTACTGAAACGGGACAGAGCTGTAACCACAGGTTTCGAGGGCGGAAATTGAGGCAGGAAAACGTTCCCCGCCGCCAGTGCTCCTTTCCACAAATTTCCACATGCCCGACGTCAGTTGTGAAAATCGACAGCTAATGCAGTCCAGGCACATTCGAGCATCTTCAGGCACCGCTGCCCGCCGAGTCCCAGACACATTCCACCGGCCGACTGACCGTCGGCCAGTTCAGCTGCCGGGTCTGAGACGCAGCCCCGCGACAGTCAGTCGTTCAGGCCTGTAACGGTCCGAGGCTGCTCCAGTCAATCATCCACCGCCTGCACCCACCGGTCTCCGTGAACTCTCTGCTCCCTGCTGACCAACACCCTCACGACCGCTTTAGATGTTTATTTGTCTGACATACCATTACAAGTGTGATTGAAACGGCCGACGTCGAGTAAGCCTCGCAAATCGTGTTGCACGCTACCGCGTCCATGTTGCCCCGGTGCACTTACTAGGCAAGCGGATGTGCCTGAACAGACAAACAGCGCGAGAAAAAAGACGCATGCCAGCCAGGTGACGGCTAGGAACATCTCAGGCAATACATTTCGAGAGACGCTGGACCCCGCAACACCGCAAAACGCTCGCCACTGCAACTACCAGGACCGCACACGTGCGGCGTTGCTCCGCAAATGCAGACCTCAATCGGAACGCTACTACCCACATAGACTACACCACATCGATACTCGATAATATAGAAACCAACGTCATGTGAGATATATGTATATATCAATAGTAACGCATGCAATTTATTCAACACAACGTGGCGTCCGCATGAACACTGAAACCTCCATACACGAAGTGCGCACGCAGAATCAGGGCATTACAAAGGATTTCAACACTCCACAAATGATCATGAATAGCACGCGAGGCGAGGGAGGGTCCAACCAGATCACCTACACTCTAGGCCGATGAAAGCGCGTGAAGGCAGCGCGGCGGGATCCAGATGAGTTCACATTCCAATGGATTACACACATGGGAGTTGAGCTACACAAAACATTCTCTACCCCGCGTGAGTGCCGGCCCCGTCGGTAGCTCCTCCCTTCCCTGTCCCACCGCCCGGCACCGTCGCCAGCGGCGGCAAGAGCCACCCCACCATGCTGTGCACAAAGCCAAGCGGCGCCGGCCGACGGACCGCCGCGTCAGCGCTCCCGAACGGCCGATCACGGGCGAGCGGCGGCCGGCGGCGGCCGGCGCCGTCGCACCGCCAGCGTCCGCGGCCTGGGCCGGGGCGGGGCGGACGCGAGGCGCGGGCACGACCTTCCCGCGCCAGGTCCTGCCGCACGGCAGGCCCGCCCGCGGCGACACGGGCGCCGGCGCTCAAATCTTGTTGACTTTCTCGCCGACGATGACGGGATTATTTTTGCGGATCTCCTGCTGGCCAAGCTGGCGGTAGTCGAACGTGCAGTCGTGCTTGTCGCTGTACCGGTGTAGCGAACAGAAGAGGCCATCACACCGGCACGTAAACCCTGGCGGCGGGCATCATGGTCAGGTCGGGTCGGGTCACACACCCGTACGGACACAGCAACGCTCGCAGCCCAGCGGCGCCCGCGAACGATCTGCATCGAGCCTGATCCAGACAGCGCACTGGTCAAAGGCTGGACGGCCGACTGAACAGGGGACAATGAACCGACAGACAACTATTGTCTTTTCGTTATCTTCTACAACTAGGAAAAAGGATCAGTTCGCATGCCTCCACAAACCAGCACTTTCCTGACGCGAACCCCGACGACAAGGCACTGATTTGATTGCAAAGTGTGTACAAGCACGTAACTGGTTCAAACTCAGGCATTGGTGCACTGGTGCACAAAAGCAACAGCCGATATCGCGCGACTTTGCACGGCTCACAAATGCCCCGACATGCGCCAATAACCCCAGCTCGGCAAATGAACAACATCTGGCTACATATCACCTTGGTCAGTCCAGTTAGTCAAGGTTAAGCTACAGCAAAAGACCGCACCAAAGCCAGAACTAAAATGCACTGCACAAGAGTAGCACATTCCTCTTACCTGTCAAGCCGACCTTCTTGCGGCACACTTCGCAGCGGTTCTTTTTCTTCTTGCTGACGCCATCGGCCGGCGACGGGGCGGTGTCGGTGCAGGAGCCGGCGGAGACGTCGGTGGAGGTGGAAGCGGCCGAGGCCGTCGGTGATTTCTGGGGGCTGGCCTCCGCGGACTCCTGAAACAGTTTACCTCATTTCCATACGACGGCACGCAAAGCTGCCGGACAAAGGCGACACTGCACGTTCCAAGCTATGCAAAGGTGCATACAAATGCCAAATTACACAATCATTCATTACAGGCAGATATAGTACACAAACAGTCGCCATCTAATACAAAGTATGCCTAGTGAAAGAAGCTGATGTGTATCGCATCAAATTTCATTACGTTCAAGAACAAACTTTTCAACATTCACGACAATGTTCTAGATGTAAGCTGTTGACAACTATCTAGTGAATACAGCGAAGAAAACTCAAGCTTCAAAACCAAACTATTTCACGTTCGATGCTCTGAGAGCACGATCGAACAAGGATCTTGTTACATTTTTCAACGAATCTGAATGTATTCCCATTCCTATGCATTTTTCAGAACTAGAGCCCACAAGCGGGGCAGACTCCCGACTCTGGTACACTCTCGACAAGCTCTCATGAATAGATTTCACTTCAAGACAGTGGATTTTGTGATATTGAGAATTAAGACACGACGTGGGTAATGGCTTTGGGCGCTTAAATATACCTTGAATTCCTCACCGTAAATCTCGTGCAAAAGTAAATAAATATCTCCAATTTTAAGCGACGCAAGGCATATATCGCGATGTTTTACGATTTCAACAATGTGCAATAAGACCCTGTCACAAAATGGGTTCACAATTGATGCTTTGACAGCATGCCTACCGGCATCCTGTCATCATAGCATGCCGCCACCTCACACAATTATATACAGAAGATCATAACTTCCTGTCCTAGTGGTCACTTCACCATTCCCTTCTGGGCACAGTAATGAGGCTATGGCGAAAAAACTCGTTGATTGTTCAATACAGAAGCCCACCCTTTCGTAAAAAAGCGATTTGATGCGCTAATTGACAGCCTCGTTGAGAGTTGACAGCCATCTGTACTAACATGACGAGGTCTTTGATCTGCGGACGTTGATCCCATCGCGGTTTTAGCACCGACCGGCTTGAAAGCTACTGAAAATTTGCACCATAGCTTGAGTGTGAAATCGAACCCAGTAATTCCACGCACATTTAGGAAATCGCGCGATACACTTTTAGCAATGCTGAGTCACCATGGTATTCGCTGGCCTTGAAATTCCACTCCGTCCTCCTTGTGTGCGTGTGGTCATGACAAGGGTTTCAAGGCTGGGCGTCAGCGACCGGTCTGCGACCAGCATCGATAAACAGCGGCGGCTGTCAGCTGCGGACTAATTACGCAACAGCGGCGGGGTGGCGCGGCCCGGCGCCGCCGCGCTCCGCCACACTCACAGCCTTCTTGTCGGCGGCGGCCGGCAGCACCGACACGGTCGGCTGGCCGGTGACAGCCAGCAGGGCTGACGTCGTCTCGCTGAGCAGCACCTGGCTCAGGCTGTCGGCCGCGGTGCCCGCGTCTGGAGGGCGGGCACACGGTCAGATCCGGTGGTGGCGGAGGCGGGCGCGCAGTGAACTTAACATCATAAGCATTATTGCGCAGCACGCACTGATCAGATGCGTAGATCCTCAAGCCTTGGAAACATTTGATCTAATGCTGGATCAACAACTATTCAAATGCATTTCAACATCATGCCAGTGACACACGCAGAATCAATGGCCAAAGCCATCCATTTTTACATGACATTGCCATTTCAACTCAACAGAAAAGCGAACGGCCTAGTGCCTCACCCTGTGGCGAGTCGTCCTTCTTGCCAGAGTCCTTGTGACACTTAGAGCACAGGCCGTCGAAGCTGGGGCTGCCGTAAAAGCCACAGCCGTTGCGGCAGAGCTGTGGCGCCGACTGCCTCTGATTCTGCTCCTGGTCCATGGCGACTGATCCCCTTGCAAACCTACGGCGAAAACGATAACCGGCCAAGCCGACTGCAGCGCAGCTTCCACTCCCGTCAATCGAACAGCCTGAAACGGGGACAGCAATGAACAATGGTGCAAATGCAGCTTTCCGTAATGCACCATTTCGTCATAAGTACCTATACACAGGGCTATAGCTGGATCACATTAGAAGGAAACATAGCACCCAAAAGTTAAAATTTTGCCAGCTTCCGCGGCAGGCACTTTTGATGGAAACTTACGTGGTGGAATCTGATCCACCGCTGTAAAATACGCCAGATAATATGACTATGCTCGCAGAGATTAAAACACCTCGAGTTCCCCAAGCAATACTTTTCATAGCTATGCAACACTTCATATTCATCTTGCACTTTTTCCTCAGCTTTCCATTCATGCTGAATACTTATGCTCAGTTCTAGCTTTAACACATACCAATGCTAGAAAAGTGCCACAATGTGCTGCATTCAATGTATTGGCATCTTAGTCCGTAGCGCTTCGGCGGAACACTGAGGTAAAAAGTGGCAATATTTCGGGCCTTTGCGATCTCGCTGGGGCAGAAAACTCCTTTGCACAGGAATCTCCTACTTTTTCACGAAAAAGGCGACAAAAAGTTGTTTTTTGAGGGGAGGCTTCACATAAACAATCTTGTAGCCTCTAAAAATGCTGCGACTTCCGCGACGCGGCACGACCACGCGCAAGCACAAGGCCTTATTTCAATAACAGGACGTTAGTGATCTGTTATTGTGATCAAACGATGTCTCGTCCAAACCCTGAGCAGTAACAAGCTGCATTTGTTGACTTATCAATTGTACATTTCCAATGACAGCAAAATTGGGAGGCTCAATTTTGAGGGAACTTTGCAATGGACTGATAAAGTGGATAGAGGAACTGGTTGCACTGCAATTCCATACAAACAGGAAGACTCCATGATGCTTATTGCGCTATAATATCTGCCAGGTATTCATATCAAAACTGTTTGACTAGGCACGGCCACACCACCACCAATCAGCACTATCTGATTCTCGCGAAGAACATCTACTTTCTTCACAGCGAAGAGCTGTGCAGCAAGGATCATAACCAGAGCGATGGGGCTTTTTCGGAGCGCGTCGAGCACCACTTAACGGACGAGAGAACGGGAAATCTCAATGGCAAAGGTGTAGATTGATAAGTGCGGCTGGCCCTATGCATTCCAAATCAGTGTGTGGACCTGTTGGGCTTCAAACATTTTAAGGATTGGCTGATGTCAGATGTTGACAACTAGCATGACTAGTCTCCAACACGTTACGCAACGCCGTACAGCGTAGCTTCCGGTTTATCTAGCATGGATGGAGGGCTTTGAACTTCCCAAAATCAACTTAGGTAACACCTGTTTTCCATTTTCATTTTCTGACACCAGATATCTCTTTCAGAGCACTGTAAGTAAGCCTGCCTTTCTGAGAATTAATGCAAGAACCAGCAGTCTGGAGTGCTTATGAAACAGGCTACAGACAAGCTATGCCTAGGAACATCTCTGAACCTGATGTTGGTCTCATAAGAATTTAATGGGACAATGTTATAAATCAGCACGGATTCCAAACATATCCCATCATATCACGCCTGCAGCAGTCATCAGTGATGCTGCACCAATGATGATACACACAATGCGTTTCTGGTGTAATATGCAGGAAGATTTGCCATTTATCAGTTTGATTTGGGATGAAACTTGGGATTCAACACCAATCATTGAGACAGTCAAATGTTGCATGCTAAGGTGCAAAAATAATCCCCAGCTTTGTGAAAGTTGTATTGTGTGTATCTTAAGTACGTGGTTGCTCACAAACTCTACACACAAACTGGGGAGGGAAGTAACCATGCTATGTCCTACTGACATCTCACTGTCAACACATACTTTAGACCCTGCTCCAGTCAAGCAAATCATGGACACCAGCCAAACAGTGTAATTCCAGCATACATGGCTACCATGTGAGGGAAAAGGGAGGTTGTGACAATAACATTTGAACACAAAGTGCTATTAAGTATGTTTAAACAATTTCTCTGCTGTGATTCATTGCAAAAATATCACAAAGCATGATACAGCAATGGCATCAGAGATGCAACAATTGCCTGGCAGATTTTCCAGAGTAAAGAAGGGGATTGTTAATCATTTGGCATAATGATCAATAAGTGAACATGAGCAATAGTGAGCAATAAGTGAGCTATAAGCAGTTGCCTTGCTTCATTACCAAAATACAAGGTGTTCCAAATTCAACATCCTCACCATCAACACCAAAGAAATTCAACTTGGGACCATATGCCAGGATGGCAGAAATGGTAAACCAAGAGGGATTAAAGGTAGTAAAAATTGGCTCATTTTATTTTCACAGAGCAAGCAGAACATCACACTTCTAAAGGTCAGGCTTCCAACAACGGCAAATGACGAATGCTTCATAAGTTGGCATGTAACACTGTTTTATAACCCCACCACATGTACCAAAATGCAGCCATGATGCCTCTACCACTATGAGTCCACTAAAATGTGGCCATAATATCAGTTCCACCAGGCATAGCTAATGTTTCCTCTACTGCTTACCAAACTTTGATGGTGTGAACTCTTTGATTATGATGGTTGGAAGATTGGTAGATGGATGCACCTGATCTGTATGATGCAATTATACATGTATTTAACAAATATCAAAACTATTTAGAACTGTTTTTCACCAGATATGGTGAATGAAATTGCATGCCTACCTCAATCAATTTTTTGTTTTTTTATAAACAACAGATTCCTTTAGATTGATGTAACTACAATAAACCATCTCAAGTTCAATTTTCATCATCCCATTATGTGACATGTTTCTTTAAATCTCATGTAAACCCATGTAACCCATCTCAAGTTCAATTTTCATCATCCCATTGTGTGACATGTTTCTTTAAGTTTCATGTAAACATTTAATAAAATATAAGCCACAATAGACAACTAAGTATAATATTACCTCATGCACTTCATGACAATATTGCATGAAAGTCAATGCAACTGAACAAAACCAAAACCTTCCATCCTGCGGCTCAAATGGTTTTAGGGCCTACCTCCCAACCTGCTTGTGGCTGAGTGGGTCCATTCAAGGTACTTCAGTTCTTGCTATTTGTCCCTGATTGGGATGACTCATGGATGGAGGCTGCAACCCATTCAAGTCAGATGACATCACAGGGTAGGCTGACCAACCAATGCTACAAAATTTTGCAGCTGAACCAGAATTTCATGATCAGATGATGCTGTCAGATGGTGCTCAGGGTTCACACAAGTACTGCATAGTATGCACTCTGTTGTCAAAAACCTATTTTTGTCAATCTTGCCCAATTTACATTAAAAATGCATGACGCCACAACATTCTTACCTGATAAGACCAGCCTCAAAATATTTTAGCAATGGCTGCATGCAATGCTCTTCCCACCCCAGTTTATTACTGAAGGCCCATTTTAAAACATGGTCTGAACCTTTCACTGCCTCTTAACTCTGACTTAATTAAGGATGAATGGTTTCCATTTTCTATGATATCTTTTGACGGTGTAGGTGTACTTTCCTACCTAACGTTAGGAAAAATCACTGCACACCATTCGTCGTGTTCAAGGCGGCACATATCGTAACTCATCTCAAAACAGGTAGAATCATGCTCCTACCTTCGAATTTCAATAACTTCGATGGCGAGCTCCCGAGCGCCGCGCGCACCGCACCGCCTGGACTCCCCAGCGCCGTTTCTGCGTTGCCGTTGCGTAAATACAATATTTCTGCTTACCAAGAACTCTACAAAATGTACGGGACCAAGGTAAACCATTCGTCGTGTAAATATGGTTATGGTAAATATGGTTTATGTTTAGTAAATATTTTTATGGTTCGCAGTTAGGTTATGGTTGTCCTGCCTTAAACATGACGAATGGTTTACGTTGGTCCCGTACATTTTGTACAGCTCTTGGTAGGCAGAAATATTGTATTTACGCAACGGCAACGCAGAAACGGCGCTGGGGAGTCCAGGTGGAGCGGTGCGCGCGGCGCTCGGGGGCCCGTCATGGAAGTTATTGAAATTCGAAGGTAGGAGCATGATTCTACCTGTTTTGAGATTATTTACGATATGTCATGCCTTAAACATGACAAATGGTGTACAATGATTTTTTCTAATGTTAGGTAGGAAAGTACACCCTGACCCTTTTGGCCTGGCTACATAGTGTTAGGAATAAGTATATTAAAAGTTGGGATATTTTGGCATGAGTATATGGCCTTGTTTCTTTTTTAGTAACCTCAACACTCAACATTGTTCACCATCACACCAATAATGTTTGCTTAAACTGCACAGACAGCTGACACCTCCTCCAAAAATTGTCCCCATGACAGCAGATTAGATGCAGACTCCAAGCATTTCCCAACTAATCTCATTTTTTGGAGGAGTGACAAGAGCAGGCCTTTCTTCCAGGCATGGGAGTCTGATTTCAGTTTTTAAGCACACAAATTTTGCACAAATCTTATGTGGACCTGCCCTTTAGAGAGAGCATTTATACAGGGGAGCATAACATTCATACCTTCACTTAGACAGGGTGTTTTCTCACAACCAATGCCAATGGATAATTCTTGTCTTCTTTACAAAGCTATGTCCCAAAATTCAAGCATCACAAGCAGGTTAATCAACAATTTCAACTGAGCATTGATTAAAGCTCAACATCCATACATAACATACAACATTATCAGCAAGCCTGTAATCCATGCACTGCACAGGTCTTCCAATCCTATCACATTTGATACAATGGCAAACAAAGAGCTCTTTGTTGGCTACATCAACTTGAGCCCTAGGTCCCCAGAATACAATACAGACTGTCCATTTTGAGCAATTGGGTGTCTAATTGCACCCTTGAAATGTAGATGCCTTAGCAAACTATAGCGGGTACTTATCAAGAGCCTGCGGATGACATGACATCCCATCGAAATTGAGATTCCAAACGACCTGGCGCTCACCTGTCACTATAGCTGCGTTTAAACACCAGCTTGATGTGTTGTCTGAATCCTAGGAGCGTATCAATTAGCTAGAAGATCACAATTGCCACAAGAAACAAAGCAAAGACGAATATATAATCTCCCCGCTGCCACACACCGCTCCCTCACGGCGCCACAGGGAAATGCAGCTGGGCAGTGACCATGCAAGGACGGGAAATTTGGTGACGCACGAAGGCTGTATTCGATGGGGTGAATCAGACCAGACTTTTATACATGCTCGCCTTGTGATTGGTCAAGATTTCCAGGGCTTGGGGCTCGATTGGTTTATAGCTGAGAAAATACCAAGCGAGCCATTGCATCGAACTTACGAGAATTCGCTGAATTGGCAGCTCAAGATACTTGCGTTTGCGTCAGACAAGTGCCGTGACCTGTCGTAATCAAAGGTATATATGAAATGACCGACGGTCAGATGATTTGAACACAGAATGTTCAGCACATATTGATCGGTTGCAAACATTAAAAGCACCGATCAGGATATCATTGTTACAGGAGACCGCCTTCAGTACCCCAGCATTGTATTGCCAACTGAGCACTTTGAATGCTCGCACCAAAACAGAGTGCTAACGTCATCGTTGTACGACGTAGATCCTATGACGTTTCGAGATAACGTCGTGTGACGTTTGACGATGTCCGTGTAGTTAGCGATTTATTCAGCAATTTTTTTCAGCGACGAGTTCCGATATCTCTTAAGAAGGGTCTCAAAGTCAATTGTGGCATGAAAACACGAAAATAGCCCTTATTTTGCAATATCATGTAACCTTCAAGATAAAAAACTGGGTCAAAGGACAGAGATTTGATATCACACCAAAACTACCGGCCGATTTTGAGAACTGTGAGCATCAAGATATTTACAAGCGCGAGAGCTAGAGTCCGTCAAAAAGTTTTAAACTCTCAAAGTCACTCTCCAGGGTCAAACACGGCTCAAAGGACTGAGAATTTCTTATCACCCCAAAATTTCCGGCCGATTTTTAACTTACAAGCATCGGAATATTCACCACAGAAAGAGCTAGCGTCCGTCAAAAAGTTCTGGCCTCTCAAGGCCACCCTTCAAGGTGAAAGACGGGCCCAAGGGACGGAAAACTCCTATTATCCCAAAATTACCGGCCAATGTTTTATTTACAAGCATCAGAAAATTCACCACAGGAAGAACTATAGCGTCCGTCAAAAAGTCCCGACCTCTCAAGGTCACCCTTCAAGTTCAAACACGGGCTTCTTTTCTTGATATGGAGTTCCCCGTCCTGTGAGCTCGAGTTTGACCTTCAATGATGACCTTGAGAGGCCAGGCATTTTTGACGGATGCTAGTTCTTTCTGTGGTGAATATTTCGTTGTTTGTAAGTTTGAAACTGGCCTGTAATTTTGAGGTGATACGGAATTCTCCGTCTTTTAAGCTCGAATTTGACCTTGAAGGATGACCTTGAGAGCTCAGGGTTTTTTGACGAACGCTAGTCCTTTCTGTGGTGAATATGCTGATGGTTGTAAGTTAAAAATTGGGCAGTAATTTTTGGATGATATGAAATTCTCCGTCCTCTGAGCCCACATTTGACCTTGAAGGGTGACCTTGAAAGGTCAGAACTTTTGGACGAACGCTAGCTCTTTCTGTGGTGAAAATATTGATGTTTGCAAGATAAAAATTGGCTGGCAACTTTTGGGCGATATGGAGTTCCCCATTCTTTGAGCCCACGTTTGACCTTGAAGGGTGACCTTGAGAGGTCAGAACTTTCTGACGTACGCTGGCTCTTGCGCTTGTGAATGTTTTGATGCTAACATTTTTCAAATCGGCTGGTAGTTTTCGGGTGATATCGAGTTCCCCGTCCTTTGACCCAGCTTTTGACCTTAAAGGTCACATGATATTGCAAAATAAGGGCCATTTTTGGTGTTCTTATGCCACAATTGCCTTTGAGACTCTTGTTTAGAGAAATCGGAACTCGTCGCTGAAGAAATCTCCGAATTGCTAACTTCACGGACATCGTTTGGCGTCCGTTCTGCACCAATACTCACGATTTTGGAATCGGGGCATGATTTATAGATTATCCTCATGCCCATAGAGATTTATTCGGCGTATTGCAAGCCTTGAGACAGCCTGATAACCTTTTTTATTTTCATCAAAGTACTGTACGATCATTGTTATTGAGGATACACAAATTTCGTAAGCTATTTGGTAGTCTTCGATGTTATTTTGCGAGCCAATGCATAGCCTTTTTTATCCTCTGGTGATCTTCGGAGGCTCCTGGAGGTGGGCAGTAGCGTATGTAGGAGGGAGCACAGGGGACACGTGTCCCCCCCCCCCATTGGGTTCGGAGGGGCCCTTAGGGCCCCTCCGAACCTCGGGTCTAAGGACATAACAGGCTGGTTTGAGTCTTATTCAGGGGCCCCTGCCTGCGAAGACAAACCCTCAAATACCGGTCAGATGGCCCTTTGCGCCAATCGGGTACCCCCTGAGTCGATATGGGACTATATGTCGGTCAGATACAACCAGTACCGCATAGTCGGCTCGGTGCCTGTACGGGCCTAAGGGCCCGCTTCCTAATGAGCTATGAAGCCGGGGCTAGGAATTTACGCTGGCCGGAACCTTGTGCCTGTCAAGGGTCCGCAGGGCCTAACAGAGGGTCCAGCGCTTGCAAGGACCCCGAGCCGACCAAGGGAAGCATTCGACGAGGCCCGAAGAGAGGCCTGGGAGGCACACCGGAACCGACAATGAAAGGTCCGGTTGGAGGGCATAAGAGCCCGAAGAACTGGATGTAGATCACCCAAAGAATCGCGGCCCATAGGGATGTGACCTGAAATATCAGCTAGATATCCTCTTGCACCGTTTGAGGAAAGCCTGAGACAATGTTAAGTCGGTCAGAGACTGCGAGCACCGAACGGTTGGCTACATGTCAGTCTAAGCCCGAGACCCATTTCCCAGGCAGAAACGAGGCCAGGATCCACGATTTGCAGTGTTCGGGATCTCTGACGCAACAAGGACCTCTTGCGTCGGTTAGGGGCCACAGTGCCTGACAGGGGAACCTATGGTGGCCAATGGCCTTGAGTCGGAGAAGTGTTTGAGGGGACCCGAAGAAGGGCTGAGGGGTCTTTTGAGGCCAAAGATCAGGGGCCCGATGGGATGGCTGAAGGGTCTGAATGGCTGGCTGTAGTCCACATTAAGGACCTCTGTCCAGGGCCGTGGTCTCAAATGTCATTAAGATGATATCTTGCACCAGTAGGGACCCTGAGGCAGGGCCTTCCTCTATTTCTACCTGAGATCATGAACAACGAGCAGTCGGCTCCAGGGGCGGATCCAGAGGGGGGGCCTATTGGCTGGGCCATGGCCCTCCCCCCTTGGGCGCCGGAGGGGTTCATTGGCTCCGAAGGAGCCCATAACCGGCCGAACAGGTGCAGTTGTTTTCAACACAAAAACGCAACACAACTGCGTATCTCCGCACTTCCAGGCCAGCTGTTGGAAGCAAAAGCGAAGGGCATATGAGAAATAAAAAAATAAAATGGACAAAACGCTATTCATTGCTTGGAAAAGTTGTGAACTGAAAATATTAAGCCCCATTACAATGTCTAGGGGCCCATGCTGTTTCCGGGGGAACTATATGCCCACTTGCAGGATCACTTCGGTCGTTAAGGAGCACTCCACGCTACCCTTCATTTCTGCACATTTGATCGGAGGGCCCTGCGCTGTTGTTGAAGTCCTTCCTGTTAGTGTGCCGGGGCACTCGTGTCGATTACGGGCACTTCCGCGGATTCTTTCCATTCGCCAGAAAGGTTCTGGGAGCTATAGCCGGGGTCTCATATCTTAACCTGCCGGGGTATTCTCGGTTGCTCAGGGGCCCTTTATGTGGGCCTCGGTTAACCTACCGACACACTTGCGATATTCGCATGGGCCCATTACATTCGTCTAGGGCGTTTCCAATTCTTTGTAACTTGCTTAGGGCTCCACACTCTTGTCGGGAGGCCATCTGATGGCCTGCTTGGGCAAACTCAGTCGCTCGAGGACTCTTCACACTCGGTCTTGGGTACTTGTTTTCGGAATGGGGGCCGTACGCTCTTGTTGGTGGTGGAGGCTATATGATAACCTGCTCTGGCACATAAGTTCGTTCGGGGGGGCCCTCTACACTGGGTCTTGGGTACGTCCTATTTGAATGGGGCGCTAAGCATATGTCAGGGGGCTCCCTCTGTTCGCCCCTTCCGCCACACTGGATTGCTCAGGGCGCCCTGCAAATTGGGTCTTGCTGTTTGAATTTAGGGCTCCATGCTGATATTGGGGCCATCTGATAACCTGCTCGGGTACACTCCATTTTTCGGGGCCCTCCGCACCGGGTTTTGGTTACTTCTTATTTGAATGGAGGGCCTTACGCACCTGTCGGGGCCCCTTCTGATAATCTGCTCGAGCCCATTGGATCGTGGGGACCTCTACATCTGGCTTTGGGTGCTTCCTTTTTTAAAGGAGGGCCCTCTGCTCTTTTCGGAGGCCCTTTCTGTTAACCTACTCTGGTGCACTTGATGATTCGGGGCCCTCTTTATCGTGTCGTGGGTTTTTCATATTTGAACGAAATGCCCTACGCTCTTGCCGGGGACCTATCTTTTAGCCTACTCGGGCACACTCGAGTATCCGGAGGCCCCCCACATTGTGTCTTGGGTACTTCCTATATGAGTGGAAGGCCCTACGCACTTGTCAGGGACCCCATCTGTTCGCCATTTCGGCCACTTTGGATTGTTCGGGGCCCTATACATCGGGTCTTGGTGTTTGAATTTAGGGCCCCACACTCCTGTCTGGACCACCTGATAATCTGCTCTGGTATACTCTATCTTTCTGGGCTCTCTGCACTGGGTTTTGGGTACTTCTTATTTGAATGGAGGGCCCCATGCTCTTGTCGGGCCCCTTCTGATAAGCTCCTCAGGCAGATTTCGCCATTCTGGGCCCATTTACATAGGGTCTTCGGTGCTTCCCATTGGAATGGAGGGCCCTACGCTCTTGTTGGGAGCCCTATTTGCTAACCTGCTCGGGCACACTCGATCATTCGGGTACCCTCTACATCAGGTCTTGGGTACTTCTTTTTGAATGGAGGGCCCGACGCTCCCGACCTCTGCATGTTAATCTGCTCGGGCGCACTCGATCGTTCAGAG